TACACATTCATTGGCTGCCGTGTTGATAGTAGACTTACAGAGGGACGAGAATGGAAGCACAGGAAGAAACCAGTTAATTGGTTATTACAATAACTCAGGTAGGAGATGAGGGCGATTTGGACCAGATACTAACAATAGTGGTGGAGAAGTGAAGGTAGAGCCAACGTCATTTGTTGGAGGTTTAAAAGTAGGGGTTTCTAAACTGAGCAACTGAAGGGCAGAATGCCCATTAACTGCATTGGGGAAGATTGTTGGTGGAACAGGGGTTATGCAACATGACCAGAAGTTCAATTTTGGACAACTTCATTGTAGATGAGTAGACAGGTGGGAGAGTCTGTAGTTCAAGGAACAGGCCAAAGATGAGTATGTGCATTTGGGTGGTGTTAGTACATATTTTTAAAGCCATGAGATTGGATGATATCACTGAAGGAGTGAATGAATACAGACAGAAGAGAAGAGGTGCAAGGACTGAGCTCCAAGATACCCCAACATTTAGGATGTTCTCTTGGTCCAATTTCTTTCCAGAAATGCCCTGTCAATTTATACACCTACAAGAACTATACAATAGCGTCAGTCATTCTACAGCCTTTGCTAAGACTGGACATCATCTTTGCCCATTTGACATATTAAAAATAATTTTTGGTTTCTATTTTGAAGTTTTTTACAATAAAAAATAAGTTTTTTTGTAAGTTTATCAGTAATTTGTATTTTGTCTTTTAGAAATTTTCTATGTGTTTTACTCATTTTTCTCTCTAGGTATCCTAACGTTTATTATTAATTTGTAAAATCATTTTGCAGATCAAAGTAATTAACATTTCACTTCTAATATTTATTGCAAATGCTTTATCTCATTTTTATTTTTTATGTTTTTTGGTGTGAGAGCTTTTACATTTTTAGTCAAATCTTTAATCAATTTGTTATTTATTTCATTACTTTAATACGTGAAAAGTAAAGTTAGATACATTCACATATTTTCTTCTAATAGTTTATGGTTTCTTATTTTTTACATATAACTTTCAGGCCTTTTGATATTTTTGTTAGACAATGTGATAAGACTCTATTTATTTTTCTAAATTTTGAGTTCATTTTATAATTATATTAAATAATGTAACAGTTACATCTTTGTGATGTGTCCTTTAGCTTATATTAAGCTCTTATGTGTATTGAAGTCTGGTTCTGAGATACCTATTCCCCTCTTTGCTTTGGATACTAATTCTTGTGTCCATACCTCTTTATTATTGTGTTTTAAACTTATGTTCTGAATGCTATTTATTTGTTAAACGAATGAATTCCTAAGGCATGTGGTCTTCTGCTCTGGTTGTCAGGCTCTCTACTCAACTCCAGAAATAGATGCCAATTTTTATTTTCTCCTTGTTCAGTATAGCATATGGTGTATAGTCTAGAATGTGCTTTTAAATTCATCCTCATCGATGATGCAGTTAGAGAGAATCTCCCACAGTTCCTTTCCAGGTCCAGAATTTGGCATATGTCTTTTTCTCTCTTTACTTACAGTGTTCTTGCTACTAGTTCTGACAAATTTGTGTAGGGCTTCTTTTCTTAATAGGCTAGGAGAAATCAGTGCAGGCATGGGTAGTTTGTTGCCATATTAAATTAGAACTTTCAAATATGTTTTATATGTGTACAACATTAACTTCCATATTTTCCACAAGTATTTAAATTTGCTTCTATCAGTCAACAACCAACACTAAGGATTCCCCACTCAGGGGGCACATTGATGTTTTTTTCTTATTCAAATGCCAATTTGTTTTAATATTTTACAATTTTTTAATCTTCTCATTTGGATTAAATTTGCAGTTCACCTTTAATATTATCATTCCCATTTTTTTTCCCTATTACTCCATTTTCTTTGGACACTCTACTAATCAGAAGTACATTTCCGTGATCACAAATAATGAACAAGCAAACAAAAAAAATAATAATTTTGTGGTAAGTAGTAGGGACTCAGAAGTTACTCCCTGCTCATGATGTACGCACTTGCAGACACACTCCAAGCCAGGGCATTCTGCCCTAACTACATCATGAGTCAGACAGTTGAGCAGGTCCTCAAGACGAGGCTTGAAGAAAATCTAGTTAGTTCCTCTTTTGAACAAACCCAGTATATGAAAATGCGTACCGAACAGAATAAAAAATCTGCCACTTACTGGATCTGTGGCATAGACCCTGGGTCATGCTCTTTGCTAATATGTTGAAGATCATTGTTCCAGTATTTTATTGATGTTTTCTGTCACCTACTATGTACCTCATTGCATTTTCTGGAAGGAAAAGATCTAGCTGAGATAGTAATTGCCACAGGAGGTGATTGCCTCTTCATCTCAGTTTCATTTAATGTGAACTTCAGAGGACATGCTGCGTTTGAAGACTTAAATGGCTACTATCATCTTCATCCAGAGGAAGATTTTGTTCCTTCTTTGGATCCCTTCCCTATCAACCACATACTGGCGCAGGTATATCTTAATCAAATTCCATGGAAATATAATTTGTTCTTTTTCCCTCTGTGCTCACACATTCCATTTTAAATGGTCATTTAGCTAGAAGATTCATACTGTATTTTGTAAATATGTTGAAAGACGTGCAAATCTTACCCCCTTTTATAATTCTTCCGCATATATGTCCCCAAGAATTTCACTTGCATTCCATTTGAAGACTTTTCTCCCACATCTCTTCCACTCTATGTATATTTCCTACATCTCCCCTCAACCACCAGCTCTTAACACTACCTGCTCTGACTTCAAACTGCTTACTTCTTTGTTTGTGAACTTCCTGTAACCAAACATCTACTTTGCACATTTGTTCTTTCTCTTTGACATTGAAATATGCTTGTTGAGCAGGTCTTAAAGAAAAGCCACAAGTCCACATCATAAGATTTAAAAAAAAAAAAAATTTGTGGAAAATGGCAAGGAAGGTCATGTGCTGCTTGATTATCATATGTCAAAAATCAGTACCTAAAAATAACATTCTCCACTGATGCTTATAAAGTAAACTAGCTCAAGATCAGTTTTCTCTAAAACTCTTGTGTGCAAGCACTATTTGTCATCCCCTATATTTGATGTGAATCAGCTCAGTGTAGGAGTGAATTTTTTTTTTTAATTTAGTTTTGTTTATTGTGAGGGGGACTTTGGGCCCTTCTGTGCCTAAATGTAAGATACATGGGAAAAATTTTAAAAGGTTTCCTGAAAAGACAAGGAAAAACTTAGAGATGTCAGATGCATGAGGAGGGAAGTATAGACTTTGTACATTTGTGTTAGGCAAAGGGGAAAATAAAGAACTACAAGTTGCTTTATTAAACAATATCATTAACATCACACGCAGGTAAAATTTTGTTGAAGATCATTTAAAAGCAGCTACGCAGTCTATTGACCGGGAACTGCCAGAAATTCAGGCCGGATTCAAAAGAGGATGTGGAACCAGGGATATCATTGCTGATGTCAGATGGATCCTGGCTGAAAGCAGAGAATATCAAAAAGATGTTTACCTGTATTTTATTGACTATGCAAAGGCATTCAACTGTGTGGATCATAACAAACTATGGATAATATTGCGAAGAATGGGAACTCCAGAACACTTAATTTTGCTCATGAGGAACCTGTACATAGATCAAGAGAGAGTTTTTCGGACAGAACAAGGGGATACTGCGCAGTTTAATGTCAGGAAAGGTGTGCATCAGGGCTGCATCCTTTCACTATACCTATTTAATCTGTATGCTGAGCAAATAACCCAAGAATCTGGACTATATGAAGAAGAGCAGGGCATCAGGATTGGAGGAAGACTCATTAACAGCCTGCGTTATGCAGATGACACAACCTTGCTTGCTGAAAGCAGAGGACTTGAAGCACTTACTGAGGAAGATCAAAGACCACAGCCTTCAGTATGGATTACACCTCAAAAGAAAGAAAACAAAACTCACAACTGGACCAATAAGCAACATCATGATAAACGAAGAAAAGATTGAAGTTGTCACGGATTTCATTTTACTTGGATCCACAATCAATACTCATGGAAGCAGTAGTCAAGGAATCAAAAGACGGATTGCATTAGGCAAATCTGCTGCAAAAGACCTCTTTAAAGTGTTTAAAAGCAAAGATGTCACCTTGAAGACTAAGGTGCACCTGACCCAAGCCATGGTATTTTCAACTGCATTATATGCACGGGAAAGCTGGACAATGAATAAGGAAGACCGAAGAAGAATTGACACTTTTGAATTGTGGTGTTGTCAAAGACAACCAGAATGTTTCTTAGAAGCAAGGATGGTGAGACTACGTCTCACATACTTTGGACATGTTATCAGGAGGCATCAGTCCCTGGAGAAGGACATCATGCTTGGTAAAGCAGATGGTCAGCAAAAAAGAGGAAGACCCCCAACAAGATGAATTGACACAGTGGCTGCAACAATGGGCTCAAGTATAGCAACAATTGTGAGGATGGCTCAGGACTGGGCAGTGTTTCATTCTGTTGTGCGTAGGGTCGCTATGAGTCAGAACCAACTTGATGGCACCTAACAACAACAATAATTCGCCTTATGGAACATGATACAGAGAAAGGAGCAATTTAAGTGGAGGACAGCAAAAAATATGTATGATTGTTTTTAATTTATAGAAAAGAAGATTCTTCTTAATTTGAAATGGAAAAAAAAGTCAAAGGAGAAATCAAGAATGAAATCCATCACAAGAAATGGCAACAGTCTTTGAGATTTATAGGAATACAGCAAAGTAGTGTGAGTGGTAATGAGAATATTTTAAGAAAATGGAGTAACTAGCTGTTTTCAGGAACTGTATTTTCTAAATTGAGTGTGATGACTAGTACTAATTGATGATTAATGGTTGAGTGCTTTGCACCTTCCAAGCATTCGATAAATATGATTGACAGATACGTCACTTATGAACTACAGAATAACATTTATGAAGCAATTATACAAACATGTGAATGGGAAATCTGCATGTATCCTGTTGAAACAGAAATAAATAATAAATAACAATTCATACCTTCTCTGTGTCAATGCCTTTTGACATGGACCATGTCGAGACGATATAATCCATGACTCGCTCGCTAAGGCCTTTTGGGACCTGATAGAGTTTCAGAAAGTCTCGTACATTATTCAGCATCTCATGGTATCGGTTGGTGTTGGCATACATCTGCTGGAAAATTGTGGTAACATTTCCAAAAATAGTGGCATAAAGAAGGGCTGAAAGAGAAGAAATGATTAAAATAAAATAAATATCCCCAGAGGAAAGAAAATAATATAAATATTTGCCAATTCAACAAATAATTTGACATAGATATCTTCACAAACCAGTGGATTTAATACATGCCATACTCTTAGGAGAGTGCCTGACACCTGGTAATTGCTCAGTAAATGTTAGCTTCAGTATGATAAACATGATTTCATGAGCATGCCCCACTCCAGTCAATGTGGTAAAACATGAAAGTGGTTCAAATATTCCAAGAAGAATCAGATGACCTACAGTGACACTTTTTCCAAGTCTAATCTTATGATTGAAGTTTTTCTCCAGCCATGTTCTCTTTAATGAAGCCTAATCAATTTAAATTTTCCAGAGATTGATGATCCAGTTTAAAATGTATATGCCCCTTACTGCTTCTTCCAGTTTCGGGACTACGTCCTCGCTTATAAACATTTTTGACAGAACATCAGAAATAGAGGGAAGGGGACACAAATTAAAGTGTTCCATTTTTAGAAGGTTCTGGAGGCAAACAGGATTGGAATTAAGAGCTAAAATAAAGCTTTGGGAATGCCTGAGAATTCCAATTATTAAACTCATGCCAGTCTCCCAGTGATTGTAAGTTTCTTGATTTTGTCATTTTAATTAAGAATAAAGTCAACTTGCTGACCACTGTTATTTATCTATAGGGACCTATGATTGGAATAGGGTTGTTAAATGCCTCTGACTTCTACTCCCCTCTCCCCATCTACAATTTACCAACTCTTCTGTCTCTACATCTGGTCAGGCCACTAATGTTGACCTGATTCTGCAAAAGCTTTTAAAGCTGTTGAAGTCATCCCAAACTGAACACACCTATAATTGCACATCATTACCATCACCACCCCCATCCCATGGTTTCACTCCCTCGTTAACAGTATGCTTTTTGAAGAGGTCAGTGGCTTATTCCCCTTAATATTCAGTAAACACAATGTTTACAGGCACTCCAAGAGCATTTCACAAATATGTGTGATAGCAGACGATCACACCCATCCTACATTCTCCAAGCACTTGAAAAAATGAATCTTCTAAACAAAGTATGGACCATTTTATTTTCCAGTTTCATCAACCAAATCCCATTTGATGGAAGTGGTATAAAATTAAGCTAGTGAAGCAACTTAAAATCCTTAAAATACTTTTTATAGAAAATTATTGGTTTCTTCAAGAACCGATATTCTCCCTGAGTACAACAAATTATAATTTCACTACAGAAAGCTATTGTTTTATAAGCATTTAGTCAGGTATTTTTTTTTTTTTTTTTTTGCTGTTATTTAGGATTTTGATGCCAGTGAAGGATAATTTTTAAGATATATGATATTTTGTTAAAGCTGAGTAGGAGGAATATACTACTGACATTTCTCAACTGAGTCTTTAAATCTTCAAATTATTTATATTTTTAAAAAACAGGTAATCACAGACATCTCTATTCTATCATTGTTGGTATTAAGCAAGACAAACATACAAAATAATGTGAACAAATTAATGATAGAAAAATCATGTAACAAGTAAAGAATTTCACATTTTCAGAAAAGAGAAATAAGCATAAGTTAAGTTTTCAAAATAATGAGTGTTTTAGCGGTTAATAAAATTATGTTGAAATCAGGATTTTAAATAGTGCCCAACTATTATACCTTGTCAATCAATATCACAGAACTACCTATTATTTTGACAAGTTTAACTTGTTTGGCTTCCTAAAATGCTTGTGATGTGCTACATTTGCCAAAGTGTCTATTAGTTTAACAAACTACCACACGTCACTTTCTAAGTTACATTAAATATGCACAGAAAAATAAATTCCACTCATATGAAAGTTTAAGTGCTAAAACATGAGGAAAATTTTCAGTGTATTAACAGTTTGTAGCACAAATGAATGAAGGATGCAATCAATATCTCATTAAGTTTAGCATATTACAAAGATACTTCTACCTTCCATTTTGATGTGAATGCTGTATACTATACTGGGTCTTTGTGACTAAACAAGGTTACAATTTAAGGTAAGAGATTTACGTAAGTGTTTTAAATACATTCTTTTCTCTTCCTCTCTCTCTCTTTGTTGTCTAATTCTATAAAATTGTATCACATGCATTGTTGTTATTGGTGTTAGCTGCCATCTAGTCGGCCCCCGATTCCATGCACAACAGAACAAGATGCTGCCCAAAACTATACCAGCCCCATGAGCAGTTGCAAATCAGACCATTGTAATCCATAGGGTTTTCATTGGCTCATTTTTGGAAGTAGATTGTCAGGCCTTTCTTCCTATTCCATCTTAGTCTGGAAGGTTTACTGAAACCTGTTCAGTATCATGAAAACATAGAAGCCACCACTGACAGACAGGTGGTTGCTATACATGAGGTACATTGGCAGGGAATTGAACCTGTATCGCCTGCATGGAAGGTGAGAATTCTACCACTGAATCACCACTGCCCCCACATCACATGTATAGATTCAAATAATATGTGTATATTCTAAAAAACAGAAATTACTTCTTAAAAATATTTTCCATATTTAATACTGGGACACATTCTTTAAAAGACAGTGAGAGAAAATATCATCTTCCATGTCAATCAATGATACTGCCGCCCACCAGAGGCACATCTGTAATGAGAGAGCTACTGGGACATGTCTCACAATTAGGGAAACCGATTATCAATAGAAATCATCTATGTGCTACTAACTCCCAAAATAATATCTCTGGTCTAACCTCTCCCCTAAATTACAGATACGTTTGTCTTCTTGAACTTCTAATAGGTATTTGCATTTAACTGTCAAAAAATAACTCAATTTACAATACCCTCTTAACAACCAAATGCAGTTTCATCTCAATAAATAGCAAAGATATTCATCTGGTTGTTCAGACCAAAAAACCTAAAGCCATCCTTCAGTTCACTCTTTAATTCATCTCCTACATCTAATCCTTCAAATTTCTGTTGGCTCTACCTTCAAAATACAGCCTCAATTCAATCACTTCCCACTAGTTCTATGAGCATACTTGCATAGTCTTTAAGAGTATATGCTTGCTACTTACTAGTTCTGTGTCTTTGGGCAAGTTACTTAGCCTCTGTAGGCCTCTGTTTCCTCACTTGTAACTTGAGAATTACACTAGAGTCTTCACAAAGGGGTTGTGTTAAATGAGAAAACCCATATGAAACACTTAAAAGAGTCCAGTAGGGAGTAAGCATCCATGAACGACAGACATATTCCCTAATCTCAAGTAGTATCCACTACTCCCTCTAGAACTGTAATTATTTTTAATTGTCCCAAATCATGTTCTTTTGAAAGCTGGCTAATGTTCTTTCCTTTTTCATAGTTAAACACACATACACACACAAACATAAACTTCTAGCCCTTCCAAGTAGAATTGATCCCTTTGAATTATGGTGTTGGTGAAGAATATTGAATGTGCCATGGACTGCCATAAAAACAAAGAAGTCTGTCTTGGAAGAAGTACAGCCAGAATGCTCCCTGGAAGCTGGGATGGTGCGACTTCGTCTCAAGTACTTTGAACATGTTATCAGGAGGGACCAGTCCCTGGAGAAGAACATCATACTTAGTAAAGTAGAGGGTCAGCAAAAAAGAGGATGACCCTCAACGAGATGGATTGACACAGTGCTGCAACAATAGCATCAAAGATAGCAACAATTGTGAGGATGGCGCAGGACTGGGCAGTGTTTCGTTCTGTTGTACATAAGGTTACTATGAGCCGGAACTTAGTGTACATCACCTAACAACAAATTCCAAGTGTATAAAGGAAATTTCATTTATCTATCAGGGTTAAACAAATTACAGAGTTAAACAAAAATCTAGGTTCAGCTAATTAACTGTATCTCAGCTTCCTCTCTTACGAGTTGCTCATGATAACAGATAATATCATGATATTCAGATGTCAGGAGAAATTTTCTTCCCCAGTCACAGTATTGTGTTTGCTCCTTAGGTCAAGCTACATCCATTCATCTCCATATTAATGATCTTTATTTTTCAGATTTTTTGGTCTGTTTTTGATGACATCCAACATTTACTGTTCCTGATTGTCTTCCTTTTATAAATCTTGGCAAGTGAGCATTAGCCTTAGGCTGAGCAATTTAAAATATTGTTATGAGAATGCAGTTCTAGCAACCCTTAAGGTCATGTAGGTGGTTCAATCATCATTTCCTTTTCTCTTTATATACCATAAAATCCACCTTTAACAATGATATTTAAGATGTGGAAAGGAAACATGCCATCAATCTGTGATTGTATGTGTAGCAAAAGGCTTACTAAAACATTTGAAATGGCTTCAGTTGACCTTAGAATAACGTGAAGAAGCTAATCTTCAACAATCTCCCCCCTCCAGTTTCTCAGCCTTACTCTCCTTCCAGCTCTCTCATAATGGCTTCTCATTTCTCTGGGTTCCGTTGTGCAGTGACCCATATATGTACGCAAGCTCTAGGTATCCACTTATGAGCTGGATATTTTCAATTTCCCATTCTTCACTTAAGCTATGCCCCATCCCATCTAATACTTGAACTATGCCAATTATGCTGTTAGAAGTTAATCTCATTAATTACTTTATGTTAAATGTTAAATATTGAAAATTATTTAATATACTATCCCTCCCAGGGATATTGGAAGTTTGAAAGAGGAATTCCACATAATACAATGAGTTAATATAACGAATAATTATTTGAACTCTCTAGGGTAAGAAAGGGCCACTTTCAGAACTTATCAAATTATATAATAATATTGGACAGGTATCATTTAGTTTGTTAATTACCATAACAACTAACTTCATCAAAATAATCTCAATAATTACATGGTAATGTTATTGGTATTATTTTCTAAATATCTGAAAAATTCATCTAATTTTAGGGAGTGAATTAGGAATCTATGTTAATCAGTTAGGAGCCCTGGTGGCTCAGTGATGGAGCACTCAGCTATTAACCAGAAGGTCAGCAGTTCGAACCCACTAGCTGCTCCTTGGGAGAAAGAC